ACGTGTACTAGGGGCTGTAATAGTTGTGTGGAATGGCTGAGTACAAGAATGAACACGCACACACAAGGCAGCAGGGTCTACATCCGAGCTGCTGTCTCAGCTTCTCACTTATCTCTGACCTCCCAGGGTTGCCAAAACAAAGAATGAGGCTTATATCGAAAGCATTAGTCATCCAGAATGCCAGGAAATTTTTGGAAGTGGAATGTTCACCTTGAGGCAGTAATGTGCTGTGAATTGAAACTCCTTTTCTGTTGCACTTTCTCATTTGGTATTACATTTAGACACCCATTCTCAGTATTAAAAGGTGTACATCTCACTTGATTCTGCGAGCCTGTTAGGAGACTGAACTAAGAAAGTCAACATGAAGGTTATTTGAAAAGTGAAAAGCCCATAAATGTGATGGTGGGAGTACCGCTCATGACTTGGCAGCTTGAGGTCAAAACCTAGAGCTAAAGATGTTTAACCCTGAGTTTTAAGTCTAGTTTTCTGCAGAAAGGTGAATATGCCGAGGGAGCTTGCTTGCAGAAGGCATGAATGAGCATGTTGGACTGCAGCAGGGGCTGAAGGCAAAAAGATCATTCAAGTTCACGTTCTGTGGGCTCTTTCACCTGACCCCTCTTTCATGACCCTGCTTCTGCTGAACATCGGTTGGAGGTCATTTAACAAATAGCATTCAGGGCAAGGACAGCCATTTGATAGAAAATAGGCTGAGAGACATCATAACAAAGCATATTTTTTGCCAATTCATGTTGTTCATTAGCAAAACAAAACCCTTTCCAGTGCCCCGGACATGTTAATGAGTTAGCCCTTTACTGCTCTAAATATTAACTTCAGAGCCTCTTCGTGGTTTACCTAATCCTAAATTCAGACTCATTTGTGTGTGCCTGGGGATGTGAGAGTGACTATGTTAAATGATAGTATTTCCCCTCTATGCACTATATGGAATAGGGTAATTTTCTCTTCTCCCACATGAAATGAGAGCACATCTGAAGTGCCTAGCACAGTAGATGCTCATGAATAGATGCTATTATTATTTGGCCAACTTGGAAATCTGAGCCCACATCACAGGACCTAAGGAACCTCAGAGGTGTCTCAACAGGATAAACTACTTTGCAGTAGCTTGAAAACAAAGCAAAAATAAACCCTCCTAAAGCCAGTTTATTCCCACTTTCTAAGTGGTTAAAATGACCTGTGTTTTAAGTGACCTGTGACATACAGCTTCCTGTTCCTTTGTACCCTAGAACATACCTTGACATTCCTTGAGCCTCTTATTTCCCAAAAGGAAGCACCTTGAAAGGTAGGGACATAGGGCCCAGGTTTTCTCCCCCTGCCCACCATCCTCATTATCATGTCTATGGCCTACCATAGACTTAATCACAAAATGGCAGCCAGTCTTGGTATGACGGTGTCTTTAGGATGTAGGAATATTAGAAAAATAGAAGCTGAGCTATCTGTACAAACTCCTCCTTAAAATATGCTGCCCTTCCTCCTCACCACCTGCAGGGAAGTGATAATGAAATACCAAACTCAATTTAAAATATCAAGAGGTACCATCATTCTCTCCTTGACTGGACAGTGCTCTCGTTTGCTGGTTGGTATGACTACAGAAAAATGTCACTCACTCCTGCGAATTGAGATGGAGGGTTAGTATGAATGGCTAAAAAAATTTAATTAAAGATTAAAACAGAGACAGCTGCCCTTAACGTCTTCAACTGGAGGAAGTACAGAGGTCACTAATAAGGATTTACTTGAAGAGAAGCTTTTCTTGCTTAAATGGGATAAATATGTAATGTAGTATTTGTATTTATTTCCATGTGCCTAAAAAAGAAGGTTTAACACTTGAAATATTCTTAATCCTGTTAAACATACCTCACATGCTCATTTCTTTATTATTATTTTATTCTTAACATTGCAAAGCTACATTTCAGTTTAGGCCAGTGAGATTACAGTGACTCAGATTTTAGTGTTTATCTCTTTTAGCATAACATGATAGACAATACTTGAAAATCATAAGAGTTGGAGAAAACCATAAAATTTGCAATAAGAGTTGCATTAAAAGAGTTGCAATAAAATTTGCATAAGAGTTGAAGAACCTTCCTGCTTGTATAGTGACTTTTATAATTCCAGTTTTCCAGGGAGGTGGCCTGCCCTGGTTACGACACTTACAATCGGATGGCTATTTGTATCTATGAATATCACCCTCAACATTTATACATTTTCATTTGTTCGAAATGTAAAATATGGTTTGCCTAATTTTGTCATTCTGCCAGGTTATACTATGCCAGAAGAATTTTAACTTGTTCTCTTTTGAGCTGTACCAGTAAAGATGAAAAAATGATTAAAACCCTGGGAAGCAAATTTAAAATGCTAAATACCACTTCCGTTTCAAGTTGGGAAAATGATTCCGTTAAAAATACCTCCATAGTTATTTGCTTCAGTTTATGCAGAAAAAAAATCTACCTTTGATTTTTTTGTTTTTTCTACAGAAAGGATTTTAAATTGGAAATTATTGTTCAGTCTTAAAAATTAAGGGTTTGTTTTCAATTATTTCAGCCTTTTATGTGTGTTATACCAAAGATTTTCTTTAGAAATCCATATTTTCTTATAGGTGGTACTACATGGTCCTGTGTGTAGTTCATTTTCAGTGGATTTGAAATAAAAGGAGCTCATTTTTCCCGTGTTTAGCATAAGCGCTAGATTTGAATAGGATATAGTAAGCAAAAGAGTCAGCCTTGATGGTCTCATGGTTAAGATTCACACTGCGGCCCGGTTTCTTTCCCAGGCAGGGAACCACATCACCCTCTGTCAGTTGTCATACTGTGGTGGCTGCCAGTTGCTGTGATGCTGAAAGCTGTGCCATTGGGATTTCAAATACCAGCAGGGTCATCCATGGTGTACGGATTTCAGGGTCATCCATGGTGGACGGATTTCAGCAGAGCTTCCAAACTAAGATAGACTAGGAAGAAGAACCGGGCCAGCCTCTTCCAAAAAATGGACCCTGAAAACCCTACGAACAGCAGCAGAGCATTGTCTGATACAGTGCAGGAAAGTGAGAGGATGGCGCAAAAAGACCGGGCAGGTCCCACTCTGCTGTACACAGGGTCACCAGGAATTGGAATCAACTCCACGGCACTAACAACAAAAGAAGCAAAGGAGGAGGGAAGACTGCTAATATGCATGAAGTACCCTGTGGGCCACACTTTCTGGAGGGTGACTAACACGTGGTGTGGCATCTCGCTTTCTCCTCATTCCTAGTAGGTTGTCATGTTATCACCACCTGATAGGTGAAGAAACTGGAACTAGAAGAAACTAGAGTACTTAAGTTGCTTGCCCTGGGGCACAGCTAGTCTAAGAAAGACTAAGATCAAGATGTGATTCAAATCAAGTTCATCTAATTGCAAAGCTTGTGCTCTTTGCTTCCTTCTCCCTTTTGCTGCTGAAATACACTCTCCCTTGTCCACTACACAGAAGATGGGAGCAGATGTTTTTTGATTTGCATGCCCTGTGCCAATCCCAGACCAACTGACTCAAAATCCCTTGAGGGTGGGGGAGGGGAGGGGCGGGCACACAAGCATGTTAAAAAAAATTCTAGGAATATACCCTTCCTCCTTCCTTCCACTTGAAAGCAACATCTGGATAGACATCTAAACTGTTTGGTTTTTTTTTTAAATAATTATAAACAGTGATTGAAGTAAAAGGGAAGAAATCAGAATGAATGTTTCTCTTTAAAATTAAACATATTATTTAATTATGTAACAAAAAAGCCTTCCAGTTTTGGTTCAAATCTTGGAGCCTCTGGATAGGTAAGATTCCAGATGTTTTCTTGAAGCATGTGTAAAAGACATTTGCATTAGAGTTTAGTTTCAAAATGACTTAGCCATAAATTCTTTTCATTCAAATCCTCTTTGGGATATTCTATCTCAAATATAATACTCAAATAATCCAATAAGATTATTGGAGAAGAATACTTAGGACATTGGTGATAATTGAATATTCTTTTGAATAAAACACTTAAATTGATTTGACCTGAGAATATAGTGAAAATACCTAATTTCATTTTTTTCATTGCCCTGCTTTCTTCTTTAAATCAAAATCTGTTTTTCTATTCATTTTTTTTTAATAAGCTCATAAATGCTCTGAATTCTCACAAGTCATTACTGATCTTTTGGAAAACTGCTTGTATAGACATTATAATTCACTCAGTTCATGAGTTTAACATTTTTGTGTTATAGTACAAGCTTCAATTTTGTGGGTATTTGTTTCCACATAATATAGCAATATATGTTGCAACTCAGTAATATTGCTCAGCAGTGTTAGGAGAATTCAAAATAGAAATCACTTTCTTTTTGACAGCTAGTATAATGACTGGTTGACTTGCCAAATCTGTGAAGGCAAAAAGGTCTCTTTGTGATTTCAAAAATGCATTTATTGACCTTTATGAGTCTTTTGGTAGTGTTTCAAAGACTTTCTCACAAAAGATGGCTTTGTAATCAGCTATTTAAAATGTATAATGTAGGATTTACCTTTATTCTGAGGTGCAGTTATTCTGCAATAAACTAATTTTGAGATTTCTTAGGTTTTTGCATGAATCTTAAGGTTTGATATTGGTGATACCATCATTTTCTTTCAAGATTACAAAAATTAATCTAGCAAAGTATAGGGATTTGGAGCAACATGTCTGTTTTAAACACCACTGTTTTTGCTCTATGCATGCTTGTTTCACAGAGAATTTGAAGTACAATACTATAATCGCAAAATGGACTGTTTTCAAGATTTTCCTTCACCCTGCACTTTCAAGATTTCCTTCACCCAAGGGGTGAAATATATATCCTTACTGTGCTGTGAAATGTCTCGTGGTGTTCTCTTAAACAGCATTAACATCTTGTATGTGCTTCTTTCCTAAATTCTTTCTTCTGGAACAAACAGAAAAATATGGCTTTCTTTGAAATGACTGGGTATTCTGTTTCTCTTCTCAAACCTCCTTCCTTTCTACTTTATAGTTCCTACAACAGCAGCCAGCACTCCTGACGCCGTTGACAAGTACCTCGAGACCCCTGGAGATGAGAACGAACATGCCCATTTCCAGAAAGCCAAGGAGAGGCTGGAGGCCAAGCACCGTGAGAGGATGTCCCAGGTAAGTGTGGTTCTTCCATCCTTCAGCCCTACAATATTGGAAAATCTGGACTTGTCTCTGCCTTCGGGAGTCCCAGGGGCCTGTTGGCTAATGAATGTCTATGGGTGGGTGAGGATCTTTAATTTTATCCAGATGTTTAAAGACATAATGTTTTAATTTTAAATGTTTGCTGTAAGGGTACCAATTTGGGGTTTTCTGCATCCTCCTTGAGCATGCCACCTAGGAAAAATCCGAGTATAGTAAGTATAGTAGGATTTTGTCAACACAAATTAAATTATGTGTACAACATTCTCAGTGGTTGTATTACTCTGTGTCTAGGGTAGTCTTGTAACCAGGATGTTGTAAATTAAAATTCCTTAAAATGTTCTTTAGTAGTGATGTATGTGTGTATTAAATACCAAATTATTCTAACTTTGAACCTAACATGTCTACGCAGCTAATTCATAGGAACTTAAAAAGCAAAGTGAACCACAATGATCATTTCATCAATTCCCATAAATGATAGATAATGCAATAGCAGTTCAAGAGATCGGCTTCGCACCCCAGAACAAAGCCGTATAAATAACACAGACTCGGCACTTGGAACCCAAGCCTTTCTTGCTCCTAGTACAATACTCTTTTCACTTTGTTATGCTGCAAACTTTGTTTTTATAAAGCCAGTTCTTTGTGAAACAAGTTGACCAATAACTTGTGTCCAAAACATGGCTAATTTATATATAATACTATCAACGACAATTTAAGCTATGCCTTCTACCAGGTGCTGGATGTTGTATTAGAGTTAGATAATACCGAGAATTTTAGCCATTTTTCAGATTCTTCATTCATTCGTTCAGGAAGTATGTATCTAGTGCGTATTTGCCAGTCACTGTTCCAACTTGCAGTTTATGCACTTGAGGATGAACGTGAAAAAACAATAGGAAAAGTCAGATTTAAAGAAACATAAGTGAGTGAATGAAGAAAGCTTTCAAGTTAAAGTCAACCATTCTTTTTTGGCGTTAATATTCTGTGAAAGTATCAGAAGGTGTGATTAATTTGCGTCATATTTAGCATAAATACTTAAAGGTTCTCATGATAAACATTAAACACGACTCATGAAATAGTCTGCCATGTATTTTTGAAGATCGTAAGTCTTTAGTAGATTGCGTTAATCATATCTTTTTATTTTCTGAAGACTTGACATCTGGGACCTTACTAGCCCTGGAGAGACTGCTCCTCCAGGGTTAGTCAGTTACTAGAGGTAGCAAATGAATGGCCTGCGAACACACCTTTCCTTTACAAACCCACCAATCCAAAACCCATACTCCCCAACTATCTCCTTTATCAGGCTCTTACATTCTGGGCCACTATCTACCTGCCCTACTCACCGCAAACCAGATACTAGACAACTCAAGACAGCCCTTCTACCCCAAAGCGCACCAAAATTATTCAAACTAGCCAGTCCTAAGCCTGCTTACTCTGCCTCGCTCGTTCCTTCCTGCAAAAACCACAATAAAGACTCCTGTCCATTTTCCCCTCACTCCCACTGCCTCTTGACCAATTCTGGTGCTTACCCTTGTGTCCCCCTGTCCCTCCCATGGCATGACCTGCTACCTCCTCTTGGGAAATCTAACAAACTGTCTTTTCAAAAGTAGTCCGCTCCTGATCCCTTGGCCTCAGCATACCTGAATAATAATAGAACCAATATTTTAAAATGTAGGACTATGAATGTATCTAGAAACATACAACACAATTACTTTTTTGTTTTGTTTTGTTTTAAAGATGAGTAACCACAGTACTTGAATCTACTTGGAAATAAGAACATTAAGGGCAGGGGCCAGCTCCATGGCCGAGTGGTTAAGTTCGTGCACTCTGCTTTGGCGGCCCAGGCTTTCACCAGTTCAGATCCTGGGTGTGGACATGGCACTGCTCATCGAGCCCTGCTGGGGTGGTGTCCCACAAGCCACAACTAGGAGGACTCACAACTAAGAATATACAGCTGTGTACCGAGGGTCTTTGGGGAGAAAAAGGAAAAATTTTTTTTAAAAATATTTAAAAAAAAAAGAACCTTAAGGGGGAAAAACCTTTCATAATACTTTGGCTCTGGAATATAATGTGCAGTTCTAATTTCTGTCCATGATGAAAACTTAAAAGAAAGTTGAACTAGAAATCTCATAGAATAGTTGAGGTTTCACCTAAAAGCCAATTCTTTTGAAAAATGGGACTTGTCATGAGGAAAGACACAAGCTGATAAATAATCGTGGTTAAGAAAGCATAGGATGACTATGAGTCCTACTTATTGCCCCTGCAATGATGTCTTTTAAACTTAAATCCTATCTCAGTACTTGTTTCTGAAGCTTTCAGAGTCATCTCACTGCTCTCAAAATCCATTTGTGGGACAACGAAGTCCAAAAAAAGAATAATAGCAAAAATAAACACAATGCTTAGCTTGGCATTTACGGTGCCTACTCTCATACTCCAACCACATATTCCATGACTCCAGTCCTCTTGCTTCCTCTCCCACCTCAGCTGCTACCATCATCATATCGGCAACATTAAACTGCTGTTCTTGTTCAACCACCCCACTCAGCGTACGCTGAACTCATCTTGGACTTCTGTTTGCTCTCTGCATTGACTTCTGGAAAGATCTTACCAGTCTTCTTCACGTTGGCAATCTCACCCATCCCTTATACCTCACAGTTCTCAGAATGGGACAGACGGTCATTGCTCTTTTCATTTATCTCAAATATTTGTTCCTCAGCTTTATTAGTGATTTTTTGATATATGTCTTATCTCTCCACCTGGATTTTAAACTTAGTCTTTCTAAAATAGCCTTTCTAGTCCAAAATAGTCTTTCTAAAATAGTCTTTCTTTCTTTTTAATACAAATTCAGAATGTTTTTTCCAGTATATTTTGGTCATTTTGATCCTGAGGATACTGATTTCAGGGGCTGGCCTGGTGACGCAGCAGTTAAGTTTGTACATTCTGCTTCAGCGGCCCAGGGTTCGTCAGTTGGAATCCCAGGTGCGGACATGGCACCGCTTGGCAAGCAATGCTGTGGTAGGCGTCCCACATATAAAGTAGAGGAAGATGGGCACTGATGTTAGCTCAGGGCCAGACTTCCTCAGCAAAAACAGGAGGATTGGCAGCAGATGTTAGCTCAGGGCTAATCTTCCTCAAAAAATAAAAGAATACTCATTTCAAATACTCCACCATTCAAATATTATAGATCTCTCCTAGAATAACGTTCTTTTAGCACATCTATTTATCTCATGACTTAGTTCATATAAGTTTTGATAGATTTTCTCAATTTTTAGTCATTAGCTATATCTGAGATGACTTAAGAGATGTTGTCCTGGAACAGAGAATGTTGTCTGCTAGATTCCCGTGGTTATAGGAAAGTGAAATGCCTGAGATCAACATTTATCTTCATCATCTTTGGTGCTGAATTCTGGAGACTACTTGACTTTGAACTTGCCTGCCTCTTAAATCTCTATGTATTAGTTGTCATTTTCTCTGCGTGAAACAGCCAAGTCTTTGAAGACCCATAAATCTAGATGATACTGATACTTTTGTGCATGCAGTGGAAAATTGCTTTACAAAAATATACGGAGCAGCTGCAAAGTCCAGATCCTGAGAATTTTTAATTAAAAAGCTGTAGTCTTTTAAATTGATTTTTAGTATAGTTTTTGTTATTTCTTTTTTTTACAAATACAGAGGATTTCAGGGGTTTTTTTTCTGTATTTTAGGGTTTTTTGTTATTGAGGCTCATGAGTACTCTAATAGATTTCTGTTATGTTATGATAGTATCTAGCAACTATTAGAATCTAAACAGTCTATAAATGCTTATATTATTACATATTGATAATAATTATGTAATATATCTATAATTATACATAACTTATTTATATATTATATATTTAAATATATATAAATACAATATATATGAATTTAGCAGTTTTAACATATCCTTAAAATGAAGTTCTTCAAAATGAAAGTTGACCTTTCTCTAGATTGACGATTTTTAGTATATGCATCAGCATCTTAGGAACAGCCCTTTTTCCTGTCACCAAATATAAATACTTAGTTCACTTGTTGGATCTGCCAATTTTTAGTGGGAAATTGGGCCATAGGGGGCAAAAGTATGGTCTTTAGAGCCACAAAAATCTTGGTTTATATCCTTCTTTCTCTGTTTTTTCCCTTCATGACCTTGAGCAGGTATCTTAACCTGGTCCATAAAATGCAGTTGACCATGGCTGATCTCACAGGCTGTGATGACAAATCAATTAAATGAGACAGATTTTATAAAGCACTTAATACAGGGTGGTATTGCACGTCAGCGGTAATGTTATCTGTTATCAGTGTACCTCAGTGGAAGCCATCATTCAGAGAGAGATGTTGAGCCTCTTTCACTAAGTGGGCCTAGAGTGGTGGTACAGGTGAATTGTTTAACTTGTGAGGGTATAAGATATTAAATTTCTCCGAAAATCACAATTTTAATTTCATTTCTATAGGAATGCCTATTTTCAATTCGTTAGCTAAATACATCTCCATCATTATTCCGTGGGTTCCCCTGCTCACACCTGAAAGTTCAGGTTCTGAATACACAAAGGGAGAATGTAAAATTTAAATATAAGACAAGAAATCAGTTTTTCACATTCCAATTAAGACATTTAACTTCTCTTTCAGTCCAATTTTGAGATTCTTTCTCTGAAGAATTCATAGGAGAATACTGCCACTCTGAACATTCTCGAAGCAGGAAATTGAAATATTTGTATTGCAAGACTTATGTCATCTATAAAGCAAAAGTAGTCTTCAATAGCTCCTTCCCCACAGATGCCCTTTGTTATTAACTGTTGGAGACCCCAAAGCATCTTGGGCAATATGTTTCTTTTCTTCTGTATTTTGTTCTTGTTCATAGCAACAGGGCATTTTCCCCGATTTTGCTGTGAACTTTTTAGGTTATTTTTTACATTCTCTTCAAATATAGTAGAAAATTCATTCCATCTTATTTTCCCCATAATTTCATGAAAACAGCGTGGGGAAGCTTGTCTTGTATCTTATACTATGAATTAATGCTAATAGACAATAAAGTATCTAATTAAAAACCCACATGGCAATTTGATGTAGTATTTTCTCATAGAACTTCTCTGTCAATAGTGCTTTATTCCAAGCCTCTTTTTTTTATGTGATCATGAAGAATGTCAGAAAAATCAATTCCTTCGGGATAAATAACAGGCTCTTAGAGTACAGAAATCAAGTTCTCTCATGTTTTGGAAATCCACAAGGTATGCAAGTCCACATCTGTCAATGCACCGATATTTTGCTTCCTTGATCTTTCTGTTCTTTATTTTACCTAGCTCAGGTATGAGCTGCACTTAAAAAATAAAAGCACCTTGACAGCAAATTGTACACTTGAAAAGGAAAAGGCAGCCATAGGTAGTAAGAATGTAAAATCGTTTTCTTCCAACAACAGGCACAGCTGCAGACTTTTCCTCTTGCATTCGGATCAGTGCATGAACTTATCTCAAGGAAATCCTGGGTGGACATCAAAGATGAGAAGAGGAAGCTCTATTTTCCTACAAAACAGATTAGCCTGGTTACTAAATTAGCATTACTTGCCAAGAATACTTTTTGCTACATTCAAAACATTATAATGTATACTCTCTTGGGATTTCTAGAGGGATTTAGGATATTCTTTGCTATTCGTGATGTGGGTTGGCCAGCAAAAGGCCCTGATTACCTGTGAGTTCTTTAATGGGATGGATCCTACCATTTCTGACGACAGAAGTCTTCTTTTCCTTTCTCCATTATGTACTTATTTTTGGCACTGTGCTTATGGCATGTGTACACAGGCATAAAATGTTATATATGCTTTTTCTCTCATACTATTTGAAAAATAGACAGTTTGAAATTTTATAACTTGCTTTCCCAAAAAACTAAAACCAGTGTGTTGAATTTAATGTTGGAAGACCTGGTTCAGGAAATATATGCCTTTTACAAATCATTGACATTTGTGCACATTAAATAAAATGACTTTCAGCCATTTCTCAGGAAAAGAAAAAAGACCAACTTCGTTTCACAGGGCCAGATTCCTGCAATAAACATGAACATTTATGTTTAACATACTACTGCGACAGATTGTTTGCATCTTAGTGAGAAGTCAAATATTATTGAGATAGGATGGAACATGATAACTTTGAATGTTTAAAATGTCAAGTATAGAAAAAACCCATAAAATATCTTATTAAATCTACATTTTAAAAAAGAACTGGTGATTTTAGATTCAAGTGTTTTTTCATTTTGTAGGTCATGAGAGAATGGGAAGAGGCAGAACGTCAAGCAAAGAACTTGCCTAAAGCTGATAAGAAAGCAGTTATCCAGGTAAAACCCGTTCTCCACCAAGCAGCATGAGCCAGCAGCCCCTGTTTATTGAGTGTCTACAAGTTTTCCATCTGCTGGATTGTTCATATTCCCATCCACTTGCACTGTTGCTACTCATTGTCTAGTAACTGAATTGCTTAAACCTTGCATTGTATCTGCTCCCAATTAACTCAAGTAATAATTCATTTCCATAAAATTCATATTGTTACTTGCAGTTTACTTTTTATCAATAATATATATTTTTCATTGCCATAATCTTCTGCTACTCCTTTCCTTTGCAAAAATTGCATGATAATTAGAATTTTTGACTGGAACTCCTCTCAAAATTGCCTTAAGTAAAGCGCCAGGTTATAATGGTCATTTAGTTAAAGTAGTTAAAGAGAGGAGTTTTTTTTAAATATGGAATGTAATTTAGAGTTTCAAGAATACGTAAATTTATACTGTGTTGTGGTTAGTCAAATCAATCTCCAGCAACCATATAAAAGAATGATTTGCAATGAGAAATTAGGGTTATGGGTGGAATGCAGGAAAGAGAGGTAACCCATAAAACATGCTGAATTAGTCAAAATGTTGAAATGACCATGAAACTTTTTAATAAAACAGCCTATCATCTAATTTAAAAGACTTAAATTTACTGCCTCACCCTACTTGTTCAGTTCCCAATTGACACGTGCCTGTATCTGTGTTGTCAGCATTTCCAGGAGAAAGTGGAATCTCTGGAACAGGAAGCGGCCAACGAGAGACAGCAGTTAGTAGAGACGCACATGGCCAGAGTGGAAGCCATGCTCAACGACCGCCGCCGCCTGGCTCTGGAGAACTACATCACCGCTCTGCAGGCTGTTCCCCCTCGGGTAGGTCTTGCCTCACTGCTCGCTTCAGAGCACAGCACAGACAGTAGGGGTGGGGGCATTGGAGACTGAAGGCCATGAGAAAGAAATCTGGAGAAATGCTGTGAGCACCATTATTCACAGGTTCGACCTCCTTCCATTCCCCTTGCAAGTTAAAGGGTCACTGGCAGCTGCCTCCACAGGGTCATCCCAGCACGACACATACTCCTACTTCTCCACAGAGGAGTTGGACGGGCGTACAGGGACTTACAATGCAAGACCTAACTTGATTTGATGCTCCTGAGGTGCTGACAATTCATGACATAGTTGAAGTCATGGCACCATAAAAGCTGGAAGGACTTTAGACATAACCTAGCTCAGCCCCCTCATCGTGTAAGTGATGTAACTGAGGTCAAGAAAAGTTGAGATTTTGCTGAGTTACAAGGCTTTTTAGTGGACCCACGGGAACTAGAAGTCAGATTTCCTGCTCAGAGCAGTGGCTAGTATTCTCTGTGGGGAATGACATGACGTCAGCAACGAGGACGCTTCTGTGTGGTTTTTAATGATTAATGCCCAGAAAGGCTTACCAAGCACTGCAGGAATAAATTTCCTCAGAGGCTTCCTGGGAGAGTTTACTGTGGATGTAGGGAATGTTCAGAGTATGAGTGTGGACATTGTGTACTTGTTCTATCCATTATTGAGCAAGGGATATTGAAATCCCTGATGGTAATTGTGGATTGGTCTATTTCTCATGTGATGCTATCAGGTTTTGTGTATTTTGAGGCTGTTTTTTGGTGCATAAACATTCAGGGTTGTTATGTCCTCTTGGACCCCCTTATCGTTATGAAATGGCCTTCTTTGTCCCTGGTAATATGCTTTGCTCTGAAATCTACTTTGTCTAATATTAATAAAGCTACTCCAACTTTCTTTTGATTAATGTTAGCATAGGGTAGCATATTTCATCTTTGTACTTTGTTTAACTGATTTGTGTTTATATTTGAAGTGTGTTTTTTATAGGCAGATGTAGTTGGATCTTGCTTTTTAATTGAGAAGACTGTATATTTAATGAAATTATTGATAGGGTATGTCTAAATCTATCATCTTGCTGTTTGTTTTCTTTATTCCATCTGTTCCTTGTTCCCTGTTTCCTCTTTTGCTATCTTTTGGACTAATTGAATATTTTTATGATTCTGTTTTATCATCTTTGTTGGCTTTTTAGCTATACGTCTTAATTTTGTTATTTTGGTGGTTGCTTTAGGGTTTATAGAAAACATTTTTAACTTTTCACAATGTTACTCTACCAGTACAAGTGATATTATACCGTTTCACATATATTACAAGAACCTTACGATAGAGTTCTTCCATTTCTCCTCTTCTAGTTTTTGGGCTGTTGCTGTCATACTTCCCTACTGCATTATTGTTATTTTTCCTTAAAGAGTCAGTTATCTTTTAAAGAGTTTTAAATAACAGGAAAACTATCTTATTTATTCACCCATGTAGTTACTATTTCCAGTATTCTTCATTCCTAGTGTAGATCCATTTGGAATCATTTTCCTTCTACCCAAAGGACTTCCTTTAAAACTTCTTTTAATGCATGTAGATTGGTGAAGGGTTCTTTTGCTTGGTATGTCTGAAAATTTCACCTTTGCTTTTGAAAGACATTTACGCTGGGTATAGAATTCTAGGATGAAGTTTTTTTGTTTTACTACTTTAAAGATGATTCTCCATTGTCTTATTTGCATTGTTTCTAACAAGAATACTGATATCATCCTTTCCTTTATGTCTCTGTAAATAACCTATCTTTTTTTAACTGACTGCTTTTAAGATTTTCTCTTTATCACTCTTTTCTGAGCAATTTGATTATGATGAACCGTGGTGTACTTCAGCCTGCTGTTAATCCCATTTGGCTATTTTTCATCTCATACATTGTAGTTTTCACATCTAGAAGTTCAGTGTGGGTTTCTGTTTGTTTTTTCAATATTTTCCATATCTTTACATAGCTTTTTGAACCTTTGCAATGCGTTATAGTTACTTTTAATATCCTTGGTTGCTACTTCTGACATCTGTATCACCTTTAGGTTGATTTTGATTGATTTTTCTTCATTATGTGTGGTATTTTCCTGCATCACTTCATGCCTAGTAATTTTTTATTGGATTTAGGACATTGTGAATTTTACCTTGTTGAATGCTGCATGTTTTTATACACCTATAAATATCCTTGAGCTTTGTTCTGGAATGTAGTTAAATTAGTTGGAAACAGTATGATCCTTTTGGGTTTTGCTTTTGAGAATTGTCAGCTGAGATCAGAGCAGTTATCAATCTCTGGCTAGTTATTCCCCGCTACTGAGGGAAGACCCTTCTGAAGTAATCTACCACAAAATGTTATTTTCCTGCCAGGATGAAGGGAACGGGTACTGTTCCTGACCCTTTGTGAACACCAGACACTGTTACCTCTAATACTTTTGGACGTATTTTTCCCCTGGCCTTCGTCAATTTCTTTCCCATGCATGTGCTGATATTATCACTCAGCTACATTCTCAAGGGGTACCATCTGCAAATATCTGGGCTCTCTCTGAGCCGCTCCCCCACCTCAAGTACTCTATCCTACAAACTGTTGCCACCTTGGTCTCTTCAGACTCTCATTCCACATCCTCAACTCTGGGAGTCCACCAGGCTCTCACTGGTTATCCCCACCTCGAGCCACAGCACAGAAGCTCAAGGCAGTAAGCTTGGGTAATCATAGAGCTCACCATATTGATTTCCCATTTCTCGGGGATCCCTGTCCTTCACCTGATGTCTGATATCTTGTGGAAACATTGTTTTATATATTTGGTCCATTTTCTTGTTTTGTTTTAGGCAGGCGGATAAATCTGATTACTGTTACTTGAATCTTAGCTAGAAGTGACAGACTATGTGTACATTATCTAACTAAACCAAAAGCTGCCCACTTACGCTGATTCTCCTCACCATTTTGATTTTTCTTTCTATGTTAAAGTTATAGCACAGAAAGCTGTGAGAAACCGTAAAAGAGCTTCTGGTACTTTTCCAGATAGTGAGATAGTATTGACCCTGTTCTACCAGTGACGTCACTGAGATTGGGTGGCTGGTCCAGGGTAACACTGCTAGTAAGGGACAGGATGGAGCTGTGACTCACAGTTGACCACTGTAGTGCCTTCTTGCTTGACCATACTTCCTCTCTGAACAAAAAGCTTTTGAAAAAGAATATTCACATTAGCATTTTAATTTTCTATTCAGAGAAAAATGTCTGTCTTACCACTGTTCAGTAAAATTTTGTTTATATCTCTTTGAGAAAAAAATTCCTTAGTTCTTCTCTTTTTCTACAGGATCTGCCTTTCAGGGTGTGGCCATTTGGATCATTTTGCCAGAGCAGGGCAGGGTGGTGGGTGTTGAGGCCAGACTCTTAATAGCTGACATTTAGTGAAGGGTTCAAGTTGGAAGTCCAATCTCTGATAGATCTTTGCTAAATGGTCATTAGAAGAGCTAAAAATAAGATGAGGACTGAATGGAGTCTTTACCAATTGCACATTTCAGATCTTTTGGTTTAGTCCCATCAGCCATGACAGGAAAGACAGTGACAAGAAGAAGGTTTGCCAAAGCTTCATGTATTATCAAAGGGACAATTTCAGAGTGCTCATAACCTTGCTTATTCTGGGCCTGTTGATCACTTCATATAGAATTAGACAACATATTTATTTGAAATAAAAATTTAAACCTTGGTTAGGGACAACTATTTTACTGTCCAAAAAGGTCAGATTGTTGTTGATTGATCCAAGCATTCCTGTTGAATTCTTACCTAGAAATGCATAAAACCTCTCCTATGTAATAAAAACTGGGCCTAGATAGTCACAGGCCTGCAGTCTTGTCATTACCTGCCGTTTTTATTAAGTTAACATCTTTGAGAGTTTTATTTAAATTTTCACGTATAGCTTAATATGACATTTAGCTCTGCACCTTGGAAAATGTGAGAAAATCCTAAATCCCTTCTTGAGGACTTTTATATATTGCTTTTGAAAGACATAAATCAAGAACTTGCCAGTTATTATCTGAGAAAGGTCTTACTTGTGCTGGAGCCATAAATAAATATTTCTGAGATCTCCCTCATACATAACACACTGCCTGGAAAATATGAAATATTCAGTAAATGTTAGTTGCCTGTAAGGAATGAATTAGTCAAAGTGTTTTTTCTATAAATTCTGTAGCTGATATCATGTCCAGAATAATTAACCCCTTACCCCAGACCAAATTCTACCATCCAGTCCCAGACATCCCAAACATGGGACTCTAAAACAACATGGACTATTTTCACAGTCTCTTTGAAGCTCAGATTTAATCCATGCTTTTATCTATGTTTTTGAACCCAAGTTTGGAAGTATCACGAGATGATGTTTTTGTGCAGCTAGAACTCCTTGCTCCACTGTGAATTTCATTTGTCACTCCTCATGTCTATGTGTGCTTTCTGTTCTGAATTTCCTTTTTAATTAATTACATGCCTACTGCCTGATATACTGAATGGCCAAACTGAAAGTACATTGTTTGACTCATAGTTAGAACTATATACCTATTTGGTATAAATAAATATTTCAACTATTATAATAGTTAAAACAGCTTTACTTTCTCCAGGAATAAAAATAAAATAGTTATGTCTTTGTGCTCAAGATAAACTCTTACTCTCTTGAGGGCGGGTGACTCTTCTAAGGACCAGCCCCTTCGACTTTTTCACTTCCCTGAAAGTTTCCTTGGAAAATCAAGGCTTTTTGTTTTTTCCCAGAAAAGTTAAAAATTTCTTTCCAGAGTTACATCACATGTGCTTAACTTCCATCACCCTTGGAGCCTCTGGCCACCAAACTTTACTACTTAAAGCTAAACTTGTCGTTTATCAACCAGCTCTCCATAGTCGCATCCTTGTAGTTTCTTACTTTATCTGAGTTCATATCCAGGCAACTCATGGCCTCATGAAATTTGAGCTAAATACTATCAGAGCCTCTTGTAATTGTCAGGGTTCT